GGGACAGGGTTTGGGCGCGATGAGCGGGACCGAGCGACCTCCTGCGCTTGGAGGGATCGCGAGATGAGGGTATTAGCCGAGACGGAGATTGTTGCGGTCGGGGCGTATGCCGGGAGTAAAGCGCCGCGGTCGGAATCGAATATGGGGAAGTATCTAAGGTGTGTGAGTCACGGCACATCGAATCGCTTAGACTCGAGGACTCACTTGGCGCAGAAGCTCATGACGAATGATCGAACGATATCGCTGTCGATGAATCCGGGCTGAACGTCAACCGGGAAAGTGAATGGTCGACTCGACATCCGCTTGCGCTCGTCGTCGGTGTGCTGGATCTTGGGCTTGCGGGGTATGGCAAACACAATGCGGTTGAGGTTGACCCCGTCCAGGATCAGCAGACCGGGGAAACGGCGGAGAATCTCGCTAAACGACGGTCAGCAAGGTGAGGTTGCCTCGGTATCGACCACCTGGCGAGCTGGCGACTCACTGTTGGTACGTCTCGTCGCCTTTGGGCTGGGAGATTGTCTTCTCGCGGAAGGCGCAGCCGCTCAGCTTGAGCTCCACGAGGCTCTTGAGACTGCCGATGCCGGCTGTGGCTTTGCCCTTCTTCTCGCCTTGGGCTAGAAGGACGTCTAGCTCGCCAAAAGTCCTGACTGGGTTGTTGCTGAGGTCGAGGGCGCGGAGGTGAGGCAAGCTGTAGGGCAAGCGGTTGAGTGACCGGAGGTGGTGAAAATCGTTGTTGGCGAGGGAGAGAGTGTAGATGTTCTGTTTGTTCTCCTGATTACTCGTTCAGGGCGAGCCTCCGACATCAGGCGAAGCTTCACCTACCTTCTGCACGACCGTGTCGAGGAGTTTCCAGAATACCGCGCCAGAGTTGTCTGGAGCGTTTCGGTGGCCGGGGGGGACGATCCCCTGTTCTTTGAGCCACGGGTCGTCATTGAGATTCTACAGACTGTCAGGCAAGTTCGACCTCAACCGCTGATAAACACCCTGGACTCACTGAAAGGTCGACAACGCCCGGCCCAATCACGCGCGATAGGATCCACTGCTTCATTTCCGCCGATTTGAGCTTCTCGGAGAGTTTGGCATGCTGGTCGGCCTTGGCCTGGCGGGTGTCGGCGGCGTCGGTGGCTTTGAGGATGTCGGGTGTACCCTCGGGGGCTCGGCGATGGTTCATGTTGACCCTGGGTTTCCCGCCGAGACGAGCAGCAAGGGTACTTCCGCCCTGAGATCCCGAAGCACCGCCAGAGCGGGTGGCTCGGCCACCGGCGCGGTCGGCTGCTGGTTTACCATACGGATCTCCATGACGGTGTCGGCCGGTCTGTTGGGGTTGTGACAGTGGGTGGACGGGGAATAAGGGCGAAGAGAAGAGACCGATGAGAAGGAGTACGGGGGATAACGAATCAAAGGAACAACAGGACGGGAACGACGAGATTGAGTTGGACGGCGGTCAGCGGTGACGGGAAAGACGAGGGTGTGAGCATATTTTCCATTCGGTAGACGTGCGCGAGAGACGTGAACGAGATGACGGATAGGCGGATGCGGGAGGGAGGCGAGCGAGCAGATCGAACCTGCTCGGCGGCGACTGTGGAGGAGATGAAAGGTTGGATCCTAGAAAAGGGAGCGGGCGGTCCACAGGGCAAAGGGCGGTCGCCAGAGGGTGAGAGGAGGGTCGTGACGCTAGACGGTACCACTGAGGATAGCGACGACGTGCTCAACGTGCTCGGCGTGTTCGAAGTGCTCGAACTGCTCGAACTGCTCGACTTCTCGTCCGATATTCACTCCAGACCGTGTATACTGTCGCCACCGGTCCAAGTCGACGCGCTCGGCTGTCATAGTCCCATCACGCTTGAGGGGAGGGGGGTGCGGAGAGGCAAGTCGAAGGGATCATGTTCTTACCTGATCAAGAGGTCCTGCGGATCTGGCATTCCGTCTGCCAGCTCCCCTAGACGGTCGCCCAGCACCGCCATCCACGTCCATCCCGTCCCTCGCGTCCTTGCCTATACCAGCCCTGCGAAGCGCAGAGTCCAGCACCCTCGAGCCCGGCGCGCCGCCCGAAGCACCTCGGATAGATACGGACGGTCCGGACTGGTTGGCCGAGTTGGCCAGCGCTTGCTGGAAGGCGGACATGGTGATGGGTGGCAAGACGCCCGAGCAGGGAGCGGGAAGGGGCACAAGGGACGTGGAGGGAGGTGACAGAAGGCGAAGTGGGAAACGGCAGCGGAGAGGTAGGACAGAGGAGTCGAGTCGAGCGGCCCAGTCTCGTATACGCCGTGTGAAGCGTCTCACAGAGATGGTGCGGCTCAACGATGAGAGGAGATGAGTGAAGAGTGAAGAGTGATGAAGACGAGGACGAGGCGAGTTGGCTTCTTGGTTAGTTGTGAGGGCTTCGCTTCCGCGGGATGGCCTGGGTGGCAACAGACCTGGCCATTTGATCCCGCGCCAAGTGACCCTTTCGCCGCATAACGCCGGGAGGCTCTCGTCCCCTTCCCCTTCCTCAGCTCACCTTGACCTTTACTTCGTCTCAACTTGTATCTCTCTCTTACTGCATATCTGCTTGTTCCTCTTCGGACTTCCGCATCGATTTAAAATGTCGACGGCAACCGCCACGCTTCCCAACGGGAATGGGCACGTCGCCAATGGTCACGCCAATGGTCCCGCCCCGAAGAAGTCGGCGGCCAAGTCCCGCGGTGCGCTCAGGAGGATGAAGGCGAAGGCGAAAGCGGCATCGAAGGGGCCGGATTCTGCGAGCGAGGCCGGTACGGAGAGCGAGCGAGAAAGCGACGTGGAGGTGAGTCGATTCTTGTCGGGCGCACAGACGTTTTGGATGTGACCTTGCTGATACGTCGCAGTCGACAGCCTCGTCTGTGTCTACCGCCGCCACTTCGATGGAGAACCTCGTGATCGATCCCTCCGACCCAAACTTCGCGGCATTCGCCTCGGTGTTTGCTCATTTTCAAGAGGACCAGGCGGGAGAAGGGGTACTGGATGCTGGACCGGCCAAGGGGGAGATATACTACTCGGATGAGGAAGATGAGGACGAGGAATCACGAGCAAAGGCTGCGAAGCGAGCACAGGAGTCGGGCTTGACTCGGCGAGAAAGGAGAAAGGCGGCGGTGAGTATGAATCAGGCTTCATTCTGAGCAGCTCTGGCTGACATACTGATGGTGCAGAAACTCACGGTCGCCGAGCTGAAGCAGATGGTCGAACGACCAGAGGTGGTGGAGTGGTTTGACTGCGACGCGCGAGATCCCAGATTGCTGGTCAGCATCAAGTCGTATCGGAAGTGAGTAACATGAGTCTTGCCACTGATGGTCCTCGCTGAGCTGTTCAGCACTGTTCCTGTCCCAGTCCATTGGAACGCAAAGCGAGATTACCTGGCTGGAAAGAGGGGTATCGAGAAGCCTCCTTATCTGCTTCCCCGTGAGTCATCCGCGTCTATCAATGTATCCGTGCCACTGACTTTGCAGCTTGGATCGCGGAGACTGGTATCGGCGAGCAACGAGACGCGGTCAAGGCCAAAGAGGCGGATCAAAGTCTGCGTCAGAAGACCCGCGAGCGAGTCCAGCCAAAGATGGGCAAGATCGACATCGATTATCAAAAGCTTCACGATGCGTTCTTCCGGTATCAGCAGAAGCCGAGCATGAGCAAGTTTGGCGAGGCGTACTACGAGGGCAAGGAGTTGGAGACGGACCTGAGGACCAAGAAGCCCGGAGAGTTGTCGGACGAGCTCATCGAGGCCTTGTCGATCCCGCCACTGGCACCGCCGCCTTGGCTCATCGCCATGCAGCGATTCGGACCCCCGCCGAGCTACCCCAACTTGCGAATCAAGGGTCTCAATGCGCCGATCCCGCCCGGTGCTCAATGGGGGTTCCACCCCGGAGGCTGGGGCAAACCGCCAATGGACGATTTCAACCGGCCATTGTACGGCGACGTGTTTGGTGTGATGCAGGGGGCAGAGATCGCCGTGAGTTGGCGTTGTGTATACGCTTACGGCGTGGTCGATCCCTGCTGATCCGAGTTCTAGCACCAGAACGAAATCAACCGGGAGCTCTGGGGCGAGATCGAGGCGATGGAAGAAGGTGAGTTCCGCTGAGCGCTACGTCGTCTTTCAAGCTGACTTTGGGTAGAAGAATCCGAGGAAGAGGAATCCGAAGAAGAGGAAGAGGAGGAAGAGGACGAGGGCCCTGCCCGAGGCGAGCGTCCGCCAGAGGGAGGTACCGAGACCCCATCAGGTCTGGCGACGCCATCCGGTTACAACTCTGTTACTTCGACCGTTCCGGGAGGGTTGGAGACGCCCGATTTCGTGGACCTGCGGAAGAAGACGCGTGGGACGGAGACCGAGGAGACTCCGAGTGGGCCCAGGGACTTGTACCAGGTCATTCCGGAGAGGGAAACTTCTTCGAGGGGCTTCATGGGGAGCTCGACGGCGTACGACATGTCTCAGTTGGGCAAGAGCGGTCCCGGTGGTCCCGGTGTTCTCGGAGCGGAAGACAGAGGCACCAAGGTGAGCCATCATCCCATCTCCCCCTCCGCCGCGGACAATTCTTGTGTTGTGCTGATGATGGTGCCAGCGCAAGGTCGGCGACGTGGACGTTTCCATCGACACCGACGAGGAGCTCTCGCAAGAGCAGCTTCGCGCGAGGTACGACGCCTCGAGAGCCCAGGCGAGCCGCGTGCACGTGCCCGGAGCGGACGCCGATCGCAGCGGGTTCGAGGACGTTATGGCTGGGGAGATGAAGAAGCGGCAGAGGAAGGACGAGAGGAAGGGCAAAGAGAAGGTGGAGAAGTTCAAGTTCTGAGATTGGGACTATATTCTGTGTGGTTGCGTGTGCGCGTCGAGAGCTGGCATGTATCATTGTGGGTGGAGTACGCTTTACAGCTTGCGAGCCCCGACCTCCGTGCCATACCGTTCCATTGTCAAGAGGAGTCAGATCCTCCCACACGACGGGCTTCGTCCAGACCACCCACCTGATATACTAGCCCCACGGCTCACGTGGGTGTTTGCTCCCTTAGCCTAGTGGTAGGGCGTCAGACTTCTATTGAAGTTATAAATTTTATCTGAAGGTCGTGGGTTCGACCCCCACAGGGAGCTCACTCTTCCTTTTGCCTGGGGCTGCTCCCTTTTTGTTCGAATAACACTCTTGGGGTTTCGTATACGTGTGTATGTTCTCCCTCACGAGCGAGGGAGCGAGGAAGAGGCGGGACATCGATCTAGCGATACGCAGGGATGGCTGCCACACAGGGGGTGAAGTATCTACACAGTCCCACTTTTGAGTGTTAGCTTGGCGTGGCGTGGCGTGGCCAGCAAGATCCTACTCGGAGAGCGGATCTCCGCTGTCACGCGACATTCGGGAGAGCTGCCATATGTCTGCCTGATGCTGCGTACGCTCACACGGTCCCTGATTCGGCCCTGGACATCCGGGAGAGGGGGATGGTGGCTGGGGCAGAACACGGGGATGGGGGCGGCGGCGATAGGAAGGCGCAGAGGTGAGCATGGCCCGTTGGCGTGGCACCGTTTCTGTGATAGTGTGGAGTATGCAAGGATCGTCGAAGGCCCAGCCGATCGGCTTTGAGCCTGCTTTGCGAGGGCGGTGTAGAGACTCAGTTCAAGTATCGTCCTGAATCTATGCCGCAGGATGAGGCAAACTCTCGGCGCACCGCACGTCTCATGTTTGTCACATGGGCTGCCTGCGTGGCGTGTGGCAAATGGCTGTGAAAGGAGCGCAGAGCGAGATGCCGGGAACGCATTCATGCCCGCGGTTTCCTACGGATGCTCTGGTATTGCTATGCTTGGAGACATGCACATGGAGTAACAGTGCACAGGGGTGGGAAGGATACGGGCGGGAATTGACAAGCCCTTTTGACTGGCAAGGGATGAACTAGGATATAATAGTGTAAGAACTACGATATGATGGATGGACTAGGATATACAGTAACTCGGCTCGTCCTCGCCGTCGCCGTCGCCGCTCAATTGAGCAGGTTTTGCAAGCCCGTCTTTGGCTTGACATCGTCCATCGGCTCGTCCTCGACGGCGACGGCGCGAGCGGGACCGGGACCAGAAGGGAACTTGACGTCCTTGGACTCGAGACTGGGAAGCTGGAGCGGGGGCGGTACCTCGCTCCGCGGGATGTCCCGCTGGGTATGAGTGAGAGGGGACGTCGAGAACGGTGGCGGATGACCGGGACCGGTGGGTCCGAAAGATGGACCTCCCATCCGAGACGGGTAGTGGGCCGGGGGCGCGGGAAGACCGCTCGGATCGGGGAAGTTTGAGATGAGTGGAGATGAACGAGGAGTGAGATGGGCCGCGGCGGCCATTCGGGGGTCAGACATGACGAGGCCGGGAGCTTGGCGGGGACCGGGTGCAGCACCACCCCAAGGCGCTGGCTCAGCTGTAACTTTTCAGCCAGTGCTCACGGCAAGCGAGGAAAGGTACTCACGTGCGGTTCGGCGACGATCTCCTGTAGGGGGCCGCTGCGGGCCCGCACCGGAAAGACTCGTCAGGGCATCCGATGCCATGAGCGTCTCGTATTTGTGCCTCAGATCCGCACCCTGACGCGTGAGGCTCTCGTGGAGCGCGCGGAGGTCGGCGGTCACAGAGGCTACAAAGACGTTCAGCAGCGCCAGCTAGCCTTACTCTTGGCCGCACTCACGTTGGTTGCCCAAAGTGTTGATCAGGTTCAGCATCGACGAGGTGAAGTCAATGCTGGTGCGTACGTGGTCGACACGCTCGCTGTTGAAGAGGTCGGACAGGCGCTGCACGCGATCCTCCAGGAACGCGACCTGGCCATTGAGCGTCGTGACCGGCGAGGGTTGTTGTGGCTGAGGGTAGTACGGAGATTCGGGGTACTGGGGCACATAGCGCTGGGCGGTGAGCGGCGGTCGAGTCGGATCTGGGTGGAATCGGGGCGGTGGATCTGGGATGCGGCCAGTCGACATGGCGGTGTTGGGTGGCCGGGCGTCCCAGTACGACTGGGAAGACGGACGAGTCTCTTCTTGCTGGCGAGGCTGGATCGTTTCCCCGGTGAGCAGGTTGTGGCCATAGACCGGCCCGCGGGTGGGCGTCTCCCTCACCGGCGAGGTGCGGACTGACGTGTTACCACTCTCACGCATCCAACCGGCCACGGCTCGCGGCATCTCGGACGTCTCGTCGGTAGGCGATGCCGCCGTCTGGCCCTCCACCTGACTCGACCTCGCAGACTTGCGTTTGATCTGGGCGAGCAGGTGAGCCTCGCCACGGCGGAACAGCGGGTGTCGAAACTCCCACGCCTGCGGATCGGACGAGGTGGCATAGAGGTCGTTGACCTGCATGGGTGATCAGCGAGTGCACTCCCTCCTGCCACTGCCACTGCCCCTGCCACAGAGGATGGAACATGTCTCACCTTGTTGAACCTAATCACAAATTGAATTGCGGCATGAGCGGGTGATCCGGTGCACGGGCCATCACGGCGTTGGGCGGGAGCAAAAACTTACGAGTACATGTTGAGCTGCCGGACGAAGCTCTGCCAGTTGTTGTGCTTGAAGAACCGGGGAAGAACTTCTCTGCGGGCGGGTTCAGCGAGCGCCACAGGGAGGGGGGAGATGATTTCGGGGGAGCTGACAATGCGACTCACTTTGAGAATTCGGTGGGGTTGGGACAGGTGAAAGTGGTACCCTCGGATGACCAGTGGATCAAGCCGGTGGTGAGGATGTCGTCATCTTCGAGCATGGAGTAGAGTTTGCCTACAAACGCGGCCTGGGTCTTCATTGGAGGGTTGACGAGCGGCTGACCGGTCGAAAGGTTGAAGCCGAGTGTTGGAGATGGGATCCGGGTCGAAGGCGGGATATTGGTGGGGACATTCTGCCGGAGGGGTCGAGTCGAGGAACGAGAGGACGACGATGATTGGGTGTTGGGAGTCATTTGCATGGCCTGCTGGTCGCCAGCTCTCCAGGCGGGTCCGGACAAGGACGGATGTGTCGGTGCAGAGGAAGTGGTGATGGGGGCGAAAGAGCTTCGGCGGGATGACCGTCGAACCATGCGACCTGCGCCTTCGGTCGAGCTGGAACCTGGCGGTGATCGCGAGGAAGAAGAGCGGTGCGAGATGCTTGCGACGGGACTCGCACGACCTCTACCCTGTCCACCCTGGCCACCCTGTTCTCCGACCGTACTGCCCGCATCCGCCTCCTTTGATTTCGACTGCCGACCCTGTGGGTCCGCCTTGGGTCGTTTGTCCAACACAGCGTCGCGATCTCCTCCGAGTCTAAGCGACAGACGCCTCTTGCCCGGGCCCTCCTCCTGCAACCCCTCATCTGCCATCTTGAAGAGTATCGCCGACGGTCGAATCGCTACTCCCACAGCGGCATCAAGCGGGGTGTAGAGTGACTAGGTGCCCGACGAGATAGGTGCGAGATGCACGCCGAGGAGATGCCGGCGGCAAAGATGTCGTGGGGTCGGATCGAAATCCTGGACGGTCGTTCGGGTCAGCACGACTTGCCTTTGGGTTTTGTCAAAGGTGGGTTCACAAAGCAGAGGGTTGGGGACAGGGGTGCAAAGGAAGACACGAGGGGAGGGAGGGGTGCGGGCGCGCTGCTCGATCGTACTGTCGCGCGTCCAAGAGGTGACCAAGGAGATGATGAGCAAACTCACACTTACGGCAGTCTAGTGCGGGGCGTAAGTTTTGCAAACGGATGGGCTTGCTGGTTTGTTGGTGTGTCGAAGCAGGCGCAGGATATTCTCGGACCGAAAAGGACGAGGAGGATCCGTCCGCCCGAACGAATTAAGAGCGAGCACTCGGCCCCGAAACGAGACGAAATGAATCCAGACGTTGTCCAGGTTGGTTGACGGTCCACAGGGCCGGGGAGGGGGGATGTTGTCGTCTTCTCGAATGGCATAGGCCGGGAGCGTGCGGCGGCCGGCGTTCAGAGTGCCTGTATCACCCAGCCGATCCACTCTCTTAGGGTGGGTGGGTTGGTTGATGGGGATGGGAGCGTGTCGTCTCGACGATATACTTGATGAATTCTCGGCCTGTCCCTTGTGTATCAACTCCGCAGTAAAGGACCCGGCTGCCTGGACGCCCTACTTGACCTAGTCGTTGAGGACTAGGCCGCTTGATTGTTTGGTGCTGTTTGCTTGCTTGCTTGATGCCTCGCCCTACGCCCTCGCCCCCTGATCGTCAATCGAGACCGGGATGGCGTCCACTGCGTGTGCACGTCCGTCCCCGTCCCGTTCCCCTTGATGACTGACCCCCCGGTGATCGATTGACCAGCCGGTCGCCAGCGAACGCAAAGCAAAACCTGACGGCCAGCCACTTCTACCGCACCGCCGTCCAAGGTCTTGTCGCCTTGTAGCGCTGGATTCAATCCAGTCAAACCGCCCGCCCGAATTGCTCTCTGGCTCTCGAGTCGACTCTTGATTCCTGTGCTGTTGCCGATATCGATGTGATCAATACCTGTCAATGGCGCGACAGGAACGGCGTGTCGGCGATGCTGATACAGCGGCGTCCCCTAGGAACCAGGAGTGGAACTAAAGGCAGGTGGACAGCTCGTAGGGTCGGAGTGGGGAGCTGTGTCGTTATGTCGTCGTGTCGCTTTCTTGCTGCGTCGCGGGTCGCCGTTGATCCGACTCGCTCGTTGCCGAGCCTGTCTCGCCGCTGCTATTCCAGAAATTCGCTTGGCAGGACAACGACACAAGCTCCTGGTGATGACGAAGCGACAGGGACAACGGAGGGGACCACCTTGATGGATTCTGAATCCGGAGCGATGCAATACGAGTTGAGTTTGAGATTTTGATGTTGGAGTGATGGATAGAAAGGAGCAATTTGGCTGCTTGCGCAGACGTTGCAACAGCTGAGACTGGTGAGCAAGGGCGGACGGATTATTGTCATGTCACCCCCCACCCACCTCGTCCCCCCGTGGCCCCCTTTCCCTCGGTAGGCGTGGGTCTCTCACCTGCTCGGCACACTGTCAAAGTCGTGCCTTCTCGTCCCGTTGGAATTGGCCGGGAGTCGGACAGGGGGCGGCGACAGCGGAGGAGGGTACCCGATCCTTGACTCGGAGCGAACGAGCGACTCAGCGGCAGGCAAAGTTGTGTCCTGTTCAAGTCCACTCTTGTCTTTC